GTGTTAAGGAGTTGTAACATCGTTATGCTGGGAACAGTGAGCGTTGCATCCGTCAGACGACGAGCGCCGCTTATCGCCAGGAAGACCACGGCACATTTTGTTAAGTGTAAAATAGAGACAAGCAGCTCCGAAGAGCTGACTTATTATAGTCGTACATGTCGTTGACATAGGTGTCAATAGCTTCCAGGAATTCCATGGGAAAGGATCGGATGATCTGGATTGAAGAAGAATTTGCTTGCAGGTTGCGTTGAAACCTTTTCTGGTGGACAGACACAGCTGTGATGAGTGCCACCGCACGGATCAGCCAGCGCCGCTTTTCTGCCCCAGTCGTTCGTGTCTCCAGTATTTCTGTGAGCAGTGCTGGACCATGATGCACACAGGTGCAGATCGTAAAAAGCATTTCCCGTTACGCAAGCAAATGTGAAAATTTTGTTGTCCAGGGCACATGTCTAATGCTTTTGTTCTGAAGCTGTTTGTTGATTGCTGTGCATAAGATGGCGCCAACAACCAGAAACTGCTATGCAATGCAGCTTTTTTTATAATTTGGAATCGTTTGCTTGCAGACTAACCATTCTCTGAGAAAATTTTACTATGAGTTCTCGTTATTTCTAACTGCAAACATAGCAAAAATTTTCTTCACTTGCCCGTGACTCAAACAAGATTTTGAAAATTTCTGCTGATTCTTTTGAGCTTTTCGATTTTAAGCGCAAAACCTGCTGATCCTTTCGAACTTTTCGATTTTTTTCTAGTGCATCTGATTAATTTCTGGATACTGCTGGTCGTGAACGATGAGCATACTGTCCTCCAGTCGAGCAGATTTTTGAAAAATTTTAGTGATTGGCTAATTTGCCTTAACAAAAACCTTGTCACTGTCATACGGAGCACTTCAGTTAAGTGAACACCGCTCATTTGTTTTCAAAATCTGGCTGAATATTTTCGTAGTCCTGTGCTGGAATGTGCAAAATTTTTCGGACAGCTTTATGTTCTGGTGAAGCATCATGCCCGTATTGTGCACTGGTTACGCTCCTTCACATTCATCCGCTGTTCTGTTATCACTTTATTGGTCCCTTTACACGAAACTCTTGATGCATTTTTATATCAATAAATTCTATGAGATTTTGTTTTGTTGTCGTTCACTCAAAAAC